CACGAGCCCCTGTGTTGGGGAATGTACCCTGAGGATAAAGAGAGGAACAAACAAGGTTAAAAATAGCCGTGTTTGTCTATCAGGAGGGTCAGGGTCATGAGCTACTATCAGTTAATAACAGTTGGAAGGATTTCTTTTGATTGGGTAAGTAAAAAATAATAATCAAACACCTCGTGTACCTTATCAAGATTCCAAACCCTAGCTCTGACTCTGACTTAATTTATTGAGTATCACAAGTCTGACTTTTGCTTTTAAGGAATCAGTTTCAGTGCCAACTCACAGCAACTTACAACTAAGTCTGTAGTCCAGCAAAGTCAGAGAAGTTGACCTTTGGAAGGAGGCTACACGTAGTCACAAAGCCACTGAAATCAGCTTTTAAGTACCACTCAAACTGGGATTTGTTTATAAAAAAGGACAAAGTTTACTCATTCACAGAGAACAATGAAATAAATAAGCTAGAAAAATGGTGGATTCTAACCACTTTGTGCAGTTCTGCTTTTGATGTAAAACAGCTCATTCATCAAGTGAAATGTCTCTTGACAAGTCAGTGAACCTGAGTTACCGAAAGAACCAAATTTATTCTAATCAAGCCTCATCTCTCCTATCTGCTGAAGGGGAGCTCGGCAGGGGAACGCTCCGTTGCATCAGTTATATAACCACTCAGATTAGCTGTAGGGTGGAGGGGATAATGATGGTGAAGCAAAACGACAGAAGGTAAACAAGGAACGGGCCTTTGAACTGACAAAGCTCATGTAATGTTGCTGCAGAAGATAGTCATCAGTCTGAGCCTCGCTCAACAGTTACATGTGGCAAAATCATATTTAACAAGGCCAAAGTTCAAGTTACTGAATTAAAATTCATTTATATCCAGAAAAGGAGAGTTAAACCACCTCAGGTGTTACTCATAGACGTATTATTTGAGTTCCACTATTTGTACAGTATTATAATGGGCTTGTGTGTGTACTATACCTCCAGCAGGCCCACAGCAACTGTCAGTGCAACGCCGGTTGAGCGGAGCGGCCGTTTGCCCTGAGGAACTGGCCACGGGTCCCTCTGAAGCTCACCGAGCAGGTCTGTCAGATTCATATCCACTCTGTGAACGGGCTGAAGGAACCTGTATTCCAAGACAAACACATACTTGAACACACAGGGAAAGGCTGGGAGTGAAGTTCGTAACTCTTAGAAGCAGCTGGCGTTAACTGGCAGGGACCAGATGAAAGTATTAATACTTCTCTTTACCTGCAAGAAGCTGCGGCATCCTGAGGCGCCACAGGGCGACCTTGTTGTGCTGATGCCGCTGGCTTTGTTAACCCCAGCATCTCCTGAAACACACACAGAGAGAAACACGTTAATACAGTTGGCTTTTCACATATGCATGGCTACATTTGTGTCATTTGTCAAATTCCTCATTTCTTTGCCCTGAACCAACCTGGATTTGTTTGGAGGAGAGGTCCTTGGTGCCCCTGAACACGTAGCTCTTGGCGATCCCCTCACAGCTGAGCTCGTGAACCTGAACCATGCGTCCGAATGTGATGAGGCCCACCAGGGCGTTGGGGGGCAGCAGGCTGAGCGACATCTGAAGGGACTCCTTAAGGGCCTGCAGGTCCTCTTCCTCCAAACATGTATCCACAACGTAAAGGAAGATCAGAGGGGCCGTGGCGCCGCGCTGTAAATAGGAGAGAGAAGGAAGCTTACATTTTTCCGCATCCCTTCAATAACTGCAACCTATCAAAACACTACATAACACGACAAACCTGTTTCCCTAATAACATATTAGCTGCATCGGATTAGTAAGGATCGCAGTGGCAGTTCTCATGACATTGATTGATTGAATACATGTAGTATTTACCTGTACTATGTACTCAATGGTAGAAAACTGGGGCATGAGTTCCGCCGGCTGGTTCACTTCTGATATGCCTGCATAAGAGGGAGGGAACTGCAGAGACACAATGCCACATTAACAACCTACATAAAGGAATGCAGCCAGTCCAAATCATCAATGTTACATGAACATCTGTACTTACTGGGTTCCTCTGAAAGCAGAAGTTGCACGCCCATATTTTTGCTCTGAAGTCAACTTGACTGTGAAGGAGTGAGCAAAACAATCGAGTTAGTGGAGCACCTATTTGAGAGGGTTATTGGGCTACATGTGCCCATGCATGTGCTGATGCAGTAGAAACGGTTTACACAAAACACAACAACAAACAACAAATTCTCTGTAACCAATTTTATTTAACTAAATCAATATTAATATGGGAAACTACAAAGTTGTAAAGATGTTTAAACACAGTTCTTCTGTAAAAAGAAGGCTTAAAAATACCATATGTTGAAATAAAAAATGTTTAATACTCAAATTCTTGATCGTGTAATTAAAGCAAAGATAAAACAATGTATATAGCAGGAGCTTCATTTCCTATTGGACTCACCATAAGGGGTTCAGCACGGCCTTACAGTTGGCCCGACTGCAAAGAACTGGTTCGTACTGGACCGGTGGAAGGTCGGGCCTCTCCTTGAGGGGTGTGAAGAGACAGGAGACCGGGACCACCAGCCTGGTGGCTTCCAGCCGGCTGGAGGGCCAGAGGTTCCAGCTGAATCGCACCCCGTCCCGGTCCTCGTTCTGTTGGATGAACTCCTGGTAGGACGCCATCGCTGAGCTTCAGCAGGGGAAAGAGCACCACAGAGCACCGTGAGCTTTGTAAAGTCCAACAGCAAAACTGGATATGGTCCCAGTGGACGACAGCAGCCCTGACACTTTCCTTCTTCTTCACTGGCGGCAGCGAGCCAGCCTTTATACAGACGCTCTTTCCCCTCCCACACTGAAATACGCAGGTGTCTAAAACCCTGACGCACAACACCGTCACTACAAAACCCGACAAGCACGTTTTCATATAGAGGATTCCAAAGACTATTTTAGGAAACACCTTTGTTGGCGTATGTCAGGGAGGCGTCATTCCTTTGTGGCAATTATTCCCACCGTTATCAGATGCATGTTTCCAGGGCAACACAACAGCATTTCAGCAGGTTTAGAACGGCAAACAAAACTAACAATATATCGCTGTCAGAAGGGCATAAGGTTTCAGAGGGTACAATGTGATGTTAAGATCAGACAACTGTATAAAATAAGTAATAACGACTTGATCCCTCAAGTAGATCCCGGCTGTTTTAGTTGAACATTTCCATTGCACATTTTCAGGGTCAATCATTAAGGTATGAATAAATTATTACATTTGCTAAACTTTACACCCACATTCACACCAATAGTTTAACCCTAAAATGCAAAATAGATAATAACTACATAATACAGCACCTTTGTGCTGTATTTCATACCGTGTGTGAAACGGGACACGGGCTTCATCTTATGGGAGGTAGTAGCCTTTAAGTTGAGTTATTTTATGGTATAAAATAAATAATGGTTTCCCCATTTCGCCCTCTGAAGGAAGGTACAAGGAAATCTTCTTTTTGAACCGTGGCAAGAATCACTACTTATTAAGGATTTTTTTTTTTACAACGGTTCAGCTACAATCAACGTCAGATAACGCAGGCCACGTATCACTGCTGATGGGCACACGGGTGAAGGTTAACACACGTTACATGAACAGTGAGCAGCATTTAAAATACACACAAACAGCAGCGTTGACGGGGAGTATACAGCGGTGCACGTCAGCGTTATTCGTCTTTGCCAAATTGTTCTACGTTGCTGCCACTCAAAAAGCCTCCGTTGCGCGGCTAGCCGGGCTAGCTAACGGAATGTAGCATCGAGCCGCTTCCTCTCCCTTTTGAATGGAAGCGGCCTGCTGTCGAGTGAAGTTAGGTGGAGTGGTTACCTTGTTTATCGGGTTGGTCTCGGGGCTAGACACGAGCAAAGAAGTCCGTTGTGTTCAAAATAAGTTATAGCACTTGGAGATAAAAGCAGACGGATGTAAGGGACAGAAAAGCGAAGATGAGGGGGATCACTCCCAAGCAGCCGGCCCTTGCGCTTCGCTAAAATGACGTGTTACTCTACGTTCAGGCGTCTCCTATTGGCTCTTCGCTCTGTGACGTTAACACGGCGTATCATGCGCACGCAAGGGAAGCGGATGAGCATGGGAAATGTAGTTCACATGGTTGGGCTAGTGCAACGTCGATGAGGGCGCAGTTGGGAGGGAGTTGCAGAAATGATCCTTCGGATTATCCATTTTTTTTCTCGCTCTTTTCTATCTCGCGTCGCACTGCGTAGAGGCGTAGCTAATTACTCCAAACACAGTGCTTCCAAATAGAAAATAGAGGTACTGAACTACATTCTTGAGGGATGCTGTTTTAGTTGAACATTTCGATTGCGTCTTTTCAGGTCAATCATTAAGGTCTGAATAAATTATTGTTAGGAACAAATCATTATTTATTTTGCTTCAATGGACTTATCCAAATGTTACATCCATATTAACAGCAATAGTTTAACCTTGAAATGTAATGCACTTCATAGGATGTGAGGAGACTTGACATAGCCTACGATGAAAGAAGACTTTTAATTTAAATAATCGAACCCAACCGAACCGAATCGACAGCTTGGTGTGTAACAACGACAAATCAGCCCGTGATAGGTATCAGAAGGCGCAGGATTTAATTGCAGTAAATCAAAGAGTAAGTGAACTCATCCTTTCACGCCGCTTGTTGAGAACGTCTTTGGACATTAAGCGGCGCTGTAACCAAGCAACATTTCCCGTGAAGCTTAAATCCCCGGAGTGAGAGAGAGAGGGAGAGAGAGGGAGAGGGAGGAGAGCTGTTCCCTCTCCTCTCTCGGTGTTCCTGCCGTGCACACAGCGGATCCTCTCCCCCGTCTTCTCCCGGCGCGCTCAACCTACAGGCGGCAGGTGTGTGTGCGTGTGTGCGTGTGCGTGTGTGTGCGCCTGTGCAAGCTCCTACGTGCGTGTCCGCCCTAGGCTTCTCACACTTTGCACACCCGGGGACGGAGACAACTATGCACCCTTTACAGGCGAGGATGCTGCACTGATGGATCTCAGAGGCTGCTCTCCGCCGGATCTCAGCTGTTGCTCCACAGGGGAGTGGAAGAAGAGAAACACACACACACACACACACACACACACACACACACACACACACACACACACACACACACACGCACACACGTACACACAAAAAGCCTCAACTATGCGACGGACTTTCTCCCGTTAGCCGTTTTCCACTTCCAGTTGACCGGGGAGCGGATGCGAGCAGCGGTCGATCCTCTCGTCTTTTTTCTGCAACCCTTTTCCCGTCGGTGCCGGAGCAGCTGTGCCAAATGGAGAAAGCGACCCCGCCGCCCCAGACGCAGCTCCAGCTGTCCATAGCGAAGGCTGAAAGTCCGGCGGAGGACATCTCCGGCGTGGCCGACGAGGAGCTGCTCAAGTGGACCAAGGAGGATCTGGTGCGGCGGCTGAGGCGCTCCGAGGCCGACAAGATGAGCGTGATTCTGGACCACGGGAATCTCATCCGAGAGGTCAATCGCAGCCTCCAGCTGCACTTGAACGAGATCAGGGGGCTGAAGGTGAGGAGGGAGGGGGGGGGGGGGGTCGCCGCGCATTGGTGAAGGATGAGATCATAGTTCCGGAGCGCACCTGAGAACGCGCATAGCATGAGGGTAGAATGGGGGGAGGGGGGCAGATGGCATTGTTGGAGTTCATTGTGCCATTGGGGGGCCTGGATGAGAATCTGATAGGTGATGAATGCAGACCCTGTGGGTTCCATGGGCAGCTCAGCCTTAGTTAGGCGTATAGCTGAATGCCATTCACGTTTTTGGGCGGAGGTTTTAGTCTTATGATTAAGATTTTAATCCATATTGAAAGGGAAATCAATGGTAAATTGTATCCTTACGATGTAGCTTAAAATAAAACAAGTATGCTGTTTGGGCCCATGAGGTTAAAAGTCATCCTTCTGATAGGGCGTGATCCAAATACCAATGCTCAAATCTGGTGTCCAGATCCCTCGCTCTGTTTGAGCTACACACGCATACAAGCACACACCTCACATTCCTAGAGAAATCCTGCACATGTGTGCAGTATCATTTTGCCTTCACAACAGCGGCATTCGCTTTGAAAGTCAATGCAAATATTTGCCTATTCAATAACCTTGTAAACTGCCTTCAACTTTATCCCCTGCTATTAAGAGGACGTTGGCACAATGTCCACAACATTAACAGATACGGCTGAGACCCAGCCTCAGGTAACACATGGGGATCATTTGCCTCTTCTTGGAGACCCCGTCACCTCTCCTCTCCTCCAAGCTGCCTAATTACACAGGAAAGAGCTGCAGGGTAAGAAAGGGAGAGAGCGTGAGAGGGAGGGGGAGAGAGGAAGGAGCTCTTGGGGAGATGAAGGAGGGACGTTTAAGTAAACGTTGCTGGGTGTTAAATGTTAGGGGCGTGGGATTTCCCTGCTCAAACCCGTTTTATATCGGTGTGTGGCCTCTCCATCCCCCGCCGAGCATTGAATGGCACACAGTGAGTCAGTGCTTTTGTGGGGAAGACAGACAGGATTAGGATTTCATTTCATTGTGATTGCACGCAGTGATAGACTGATAAAAGAGTGATAACTTGCTTGAATTCGGACAATGGTTGCAGTGATGCGTAAGTGATCTGAGTTTAGTTGGAATGAATGGAATAAAACACGATTTGGTTTTTGAACCAAATCTGCTCTGATCAGCATTGTCTTATTTTATGAGAGCTTCTTAATTAGCTAATCATTACATCCACAGTTTAAATGTCCCTATTTCTCCCACAATTTCCTTCTCTTCCTCTCAGGATATTAATCAGAAGCTGCAGGAGGACAACCGTGAGCTGCGGGACTTGTGCTGCTTCCTGGATGACGACCGCCAAAAAGGCAAGCGTGTTTCCAGGGAGTGGCAGCGCTTGGGACGTTACAGTTCCAGCATCATGCGCAAAGAGGTGACCCTCTACCTCCAGAAACTGAAGGAGCTGGAGCTCCGACAGGAAGAGGTAATCCGGGAGAACCTGGAGCTGAAGGAACTCTGCCTGCTGCTGGACGAGGAGAAAGGGGTGGCAGTAGCAGGAGGAGGCGGTGGGGGGGGAGGAGGAGGAGGAGGAGGGAGTGCCGGGCTGGGACGGTGCCGCAACTCCATAGACAGCCAGAGCAGTTTGCTGCTGGTGCCCGGGCAGGGCCTCCTGCTGAGAGACGTCGGGGACGGAAGCAGCACCTCCAGTGCAGGGAGCATTGACAGCTCCGACCACCCTCAACATAAGCCGCCTCACTTGGCTCCAGGCGTGTGCGTGGGTGGCGGCGGTGGGGAAAAGGGGAGCCCCGAGCTCGTGCACAAACCCAGGTGCAGCAGCATCAGTGGAATAGGAGGTATAAGTGGAGGGGAGAGGGAGGTTCCCAGCCCTGAGCACCCTGCTGGGCGCCACCGGAGTACAAGCCTGGAGTACCCATACACGCTGCCCCAGCTTTCCCGGCCGCGCTGCGGCTCCATATCCGTGCCCGACCACAGTCGAGCCATGAGGGGCCTCAGCCCGGAAAAATACGGGAGGAACGTGGGCCGCCGCAGCCCGGAGCAGCACCCCAAGCACCACAGCTCCGATCTCCTCCTGGGCCAGAGGCAGCACTTCCTGGGTCAGGGAGGCAGCGGGGAGCTCTACCAGAGGCACCACAGGAGCAGCATTAGCAGTTTAGGCTGCGGGAGCCCCGAGTCCAGGCAGGCACATTTAGGGGCCTCTGAGCACCATGAAAAAGGCTGCGTGTTCCCGGGAGGAAGCCCCGAAACTCACAGGCACCAGTACAGCTTGAGCCCCGACCATGTGAAGTTCGGCAGCCCGGTGAGAGACGGCCAGAGGAGGCCGGCAGGAGACGAACTGTCGCCACACCATCGGGGCATCTACAATGGCATGAATGGTAGGTTTGTGTCACTGTGTGTGTGTGTGTATGTTTGTGTTTTATGGGATCATCCCATGATTTTACATTTTCTAATAACCTCTGTCAACTTTACAGAGGATGACGAGTGACACTTTTTAAACTCAAAGTTTCACATTGACTTAAACCACACAAACAAACACACAAACATACATATACACACACACACACACACACACACACACACACACACAAACTAGTGCAGTAACAGCACAACACAAATGCTTCTCAAGGTCGTATTTGTATTGTAACTGTGCAAGAAGGACACAGACATGGTGGACTCAATTGTTATGTAAAGAATATAAAAAAGGAGAATGTCTGCGTGATATCCGATGTACTTATTTGATTTAGAAAACAGAGATCTTATTCTGACTGTTGAAATTTACAGCATTATTGATTTTTTTTTTCGGCCTCTCGAGAGGACTGTGGGTTGAGAGAGAAAATAAGGGGTTCCGATTATTTCGTTATTTTACACGTCCTGTATCTACATAGAACCGATTGGACTCAAATGAGACATGCTCGTGTGCGATCGCTCCGTAACACGCGCGCATCTCTCGCGACAAATTACAGGTATGACTTTGCTGCACTGTCTCAGTGAGATCCGTGAGAGTAAGGGGTGTCAGAGAGAAGGAGGAATATCAAAGCACCAACTTGGCTGCTGTTTAAATACCCCACAGTGGCTGATAATGATTTCTGGAGTCCGAGGGAAAAAAGCGCTGAGTGGCACAGAGCTGGCAGGAGCTAAAGGACAAATTCCTCAAGGTGAAATATCTGCCTGACTTTGCAATACGGCCCTGATATTACAAGAGAAACAGTGTACACAAAGCAGAGTAAATCTGACACATGAAGTGAGTTCAATTGCATCTCATGAAATAATATCAGTATTTATGTGCTTTTAGATGCTACTGAATGTTGAGTCATTTGTGACTATTCATTTTTTGGATTGATATTTTGGATAAACATATATTTAGAAAGCAAAGAAGTGATGTGTGTGCTATCCTTCTAGCTCATTAGCAGACGTTTTACTCATTTGACGTGTCAGGTTACCGGTCACGGGGAGCACTGCAGAGTAGAAGTCGTGTTATGTAATCTGTGGCTGTGGAGCAGCTCTGTCGTGGCTGATGCCCTGCGGATGTAACTGTGATGTCATCAGGGTCATCTTGTTGGTTTTTAGGGACTGAAAAAGTGTTACAAACGCGTTCTAGTGGGGTTTGGAAAAAACAACAGCGAGGGATGACCCAACAAGGAGACAATATTAGGCTGCGTTGTGGGAGATGTGAGCGTTTTTGCAATCTCTACTGATTGCAGCGGATTATTGTGAAGACACACAGAACTTTGAGTTAGATCATCATTCCGTTTCTATCTCAAATCTCCTTTTACTCCGTAGCTCTTCATGAGATTTCAATCTTCTTGTATCTGAAACCCTGATGATGTCTGCAAAAGGCCACGCCGCAATCAATGCTTCAATCCAAATCCTTACTTGGAAAACGATGTGAGTGCAGTGGACCTCATGTCCGCCGGATTGCCAATGGGGCATAACTGCTATGAACTTAGCTCAGTGAAATGTGTGCACCAAACAACCTTTAACCAGGTTCACGAAGGCTTCATTAAGCCTGTGTGTGAGAGAAATGTGCATGTGTGTGTGTTACAGTAGTCCTATGCTATCTCATCATTATATCATTCCCCTCGCCTCCACCGAACTGACAAGCACGCTAACTTCAAGTGCCACAACACAGTGTTTACACTTAAATCAAGACATGCAATCAGGTTATGCTTTTGGAGTGTTGATACTAAATTAAACCAGACAGGCTGTAATTTAGTGCTGACAGATAAAAAAAAAAAAATAACACTCGGGAATGAAAGTGTAGATACGTGTTGCGAGGTGGAAGTAAATAGAGGAGCTTTGTGTCCGTGTGGGTCGTACTGGCCCATCCTTACTGCCATGTCCCTTTTTGCCCAAAGAGGGGAATTTGCTGTGACGATGTAGTACACTCCACTCACTTGGATTATCCTCTAAGCCCTGTGCGCAGTATTATTTCTTTTTTTATATGCTTCTGTGTTTGTGTGTGTGATTTGGATGAACGTGTCCCATCCAGTGTCAATGTAGCAGCGTTTTTTTCAGACAAATGAAAGTTGAATGTTCGCGTGGCACTCGACAGCGCCGAAGCTCAGGCCATTTCAAATCGTGACAAAAATCCCAGATGACAGTGAAACATCATTTTGCCCTCTGCCCCTCTTAATGCAAATTACTTCTGCATGTTTTAGTGAGCTTATCACACATATTCCGTTCATTTTTTTTACAGCCGGGGAGGGGTACTATCTTTAAAACCACCAGAAACATTCTTAGTTTTGCTTCTTAAACAATACATGATCCAGAAATGAACAAAGGGGTGTACCGTCAAAGGAATTTAGAGAATTTAGGGAGTACCAAGTTCATAAATTAAAAAATAAAATAACTGCATGTCACTTTTTACAGTTCCTGAGTAGCAAAACCCATTGTCTTGCACATATAAAATGATTGGCCTGTAATGCCTGTTAAGAGTCAGTCTAGCCACAAATAAACACTGAAACCTTCTGCTCAGCTGCGACCCGGATCAAATATGCCCGTCTTCCCAAGTGATAGACTCGCTCTTAGTGAAAGATAATCAGCCGTGAACACTGTACACTGTAACAAATTGCTGTCAATTTACGGTGCATTTCTAACGGTATCTTACAGTATGTCATAATAACTGTAACATACAGTTAAATTTCCATTCCTTGCATGTAAATTAACGGCCAATGTCATGAATAAACAATTAAAGCTGTCAATTTACAATAATAGCAGACTACCGTAATTCAACTGCATGTTACATATATTTTATGAAGTGGTGGAAATACACACATAAGTGCAGTGAATCACAATCCATCTATATCTGTTGTAGGTTATTGTATGGAAGCCCATGTCAGCCACTGAAAAACAGGTCCTGTAAGTCATCATAATTAGATATGAGTATCTCACTAGATACGATGATGACTTTGACTTACAGGACATTACTATACATGCAGCTGTCACTTTTATCCAAAACGCCCATGGTTTCACATCATTTTAGTTGGAGTATTTGGGGGTTAGGTGTCTTGCTCAGTGACACTTCAACTTGGCACAGGGAGCAGCCAGGATTCAAACCGCCAACCTTGTGCAGCACAGCACACCCTCCCTATCGCATACCTTCGCTGTCGTTTCAGTGGCCGGAATGTAAAGATTATAAATATTTGTATTATTGAAAGTGTTCATTGCCTAAAAGTCATTTGAGTGTTAATCGTGACCGATTGCTCCTGAACGTGACGTCAGACACGTAATCTCAGTTTATCCAGAACACCTGTGCAGTTCAACATCGGAGTTTCTCATTGCCTCGTCTCTCCCAGTAACGTTGGTAAGTGTTATTTGCCTAGCATGATTAAAATTCTCCTTTCCTACATCTTGTTGTCTTCCTCAACTTTGTAATTTTAATATTTTACCAATGACAGTGTTTCTAAATATTTAATTTTGGTTTGTTTAACAGAGGCACTGGATTAAGTGGTCGTCGTGGCGCAGGGGTTAGAGAAGGTGTGCTGGGAAGCACAAGGTTGGTGGTTTGAATCCTGGCTGCTCCCTGTGCCAAGTTGAAGTGTCCCTGAGCAAGACACCTAAAGTGTAATGTAAGTCGCTTTGGATAAAAGCGTCTGCTAAATTATCTGTAATGTAATTAAGGACGCCAGCCGTTTGCTGCGGTCAATTGAAAGTGTTCCATAGCGTATTGTTGCAGTTAGTTTACCTTGTTCCTAATGATTTCATGATTCATTTTTTTATTATTTTTTTATCATATTTTATGTTTGATCTTGGTTACAAATGCCTAACATTTTTGTCTTAAAAGCATCTAATAAACTCCAACCACTATGACCGAAATGAGTTTCGTTGTCTTTCTTTAATTTGGGGGGAATTAAATGCAAAAGTATACGGTTATAAGTAAACGGTAACATTCTGGTATTTATAACACAAAAACAGTAATCGTATGGTAAGAAACTGTAATCCAATATACAACAACATACCGTAAATAACGGTAGGGCACTGTAAATAAAACAGTAAGTTACTAGCGTCGACTGCCAGGGAATTGCAGTTAATTCAGTACCGCCAGTTTACGGTAACATAGTGTAAAAAACATTTACGGAATTATACCGTAAAATAACGGTAAATTCCTGGCGTCATTGCTGCCAGTAAAATACCGTTAATTTACGGTGACATTTTTTAGAGTGTAGTCTCCTGACCCAGACTGTTTGCTAAGCCTGTAGGATCTCTGCACTGTAGAGGGTCTTTTTCAGAAAAAAAGGGAGAGGCTTAATCATGTTTTCTGCTTTAGCAATCACAAGTTCTGCATATTAGCTTAAGCTGCTCAGAGGATCGTGAGGAGAAAAAAAAGGCTGCATGGGAAGAAAAGAGTGTGTGAGAACCTCTGCCCTTGTGATGCCAACGCATACCACAAACACACACACAAGCACAGTGTAAAATTCAGAAATGTACTGTTCATAAAGCCGAGCCGTCCCCGCAGTTTGCACATGTGCGTAATTTATATATCCGGAAAAAAACACAAATTTGTCACATCGTCCCTCTTCCCCTGGAAAAGGTTTACGTTGTGTTGTGACCTTCTCGCAGCGCCTCTTCTAAATGTTGCACATGTCTTGTCATGTTGAGGAATACGTTTTCTAAATGTTAAGCCAGTGTTGTGGGTGAAGGGGATTCTTTATTTGCTTGTGTTGTGCCTCCTGTTCTTTCTTAATTTGCATTGCGCAAAGCTCTTATAGCGGCGTGAACTGACAGACGCTGACACCATAATCCTCCATTCTTGTGCATTTTATGCTATTTTATCTGTTTGGATTAGCACGGATCATCCCGCAGCCTCATTCATTCTCATTCTATTAATTTATAATTCTAGCATCATTTCATCCAGCTCCTCTGGCTGTTTAAAAGT